AAGAATAATTTCAATCAAAATTACCCCTGGTTGAAGGAGGGCGATTTTGAACGAATGATTGACCTTGCAGACAGTCAAGGTCATGTCATATATCGACCGAAAAATGGCGTGCTCTCTGATATAATTGTTCTCAATCCAGATATTTTGATTGCAGTGTTCACCCTTCTGTCTTCGATCGATATCAAAGACGTAGAGACAGATCCAAAAATGCGAAAACACAAGAAGGAAGCACGCGACCTCGTAGAAAAGGGCATTTTGGATGAAAATTTGTTTGTGTATATTGCAAAAAGAGCCCTTGAAAAATACTTAGGTCCCATCTCAGACCCACATAAGATGAGTCAAAATCTCGCAGTCCTAAAAGAACTACTTATAGCCTTTGACTTCATTTGTCCAATACAAAAACAATTTGATAGTTGCTTTCTAGTTCCTTCTCTCTTACCGTCAGAAGCTTGTGCAGTTTGGAACGAGGAAGAGTGTCATGTGTTCTATCTGGATTTTAGATCATTTGCTGTTACCCCTGTCTTTGACCGTTTGCTTGCCAAATGCCTTTGTTCTCAAAATTTTTCTGGGCACGAATACAGCAGGAGGCCATCTGTGTTTAGGGGATGTGGCATTTTCTGTTCTCTTGACGGTTGTCATTTTAAAATTCAGGCCCGCTGCCGAATACCCCAGCAAAACCTTATCAAAATTTCTTTGGAGAAACAATATGATGCCATTGAAATTCTGAAGTTTTTGCACAGGGAAGTGGGTCAAATCTGTAAAAATGATTTCCCAAATGTTCACTTTATCTTGGGCTTCAAATGCCAGGTTTTGGGCTTTAGGCACAAGAATTTTGAGCAAGATTCACGTGAATGTCATATCATTCCACTTTGTGAACAACAGCAGGAGTTGTCATTTCCGGAAAACAGCACTTATGACTATTCTTGCGGCATCAGCAGACAGAGTAAAGTGTGGACTTTTAGCGAGAATGTGTTACAGGTTTGTACCTATATAACACTGTCAAAATTTGCAAGAGGCCCTAACGCATCGTTTTCCTAAAGTTGTAAAAGTACACAGTCGCATTACTATAAATCTGAGCAGTTGTACCTGTCCCAGGTGTTGGCTAATTTGCGTCAAAATTACATTATTGAAACGTTTTATTTAGCAAACCACTGCAAACATGGGACTCAAAGCAATAGTCAAGCAACCGACTGATAACGAAATGGGTTCGGGATGTACTTTGTGTGAAGGCTGTGAAGCCACACACAGGAAGAGTGTCTCGGGTGGCGTCCAAGAAAGAGGTAAAAAGTGTGATGAAAAACACCTCAAAGTCAGCGATACGTTGCTAAATAATGACAGACCTAGCTTCAAATGTCTTCACTTTTTTCTAGCATCCACTAAATCGTTAAAATTGTGATGGAGATCAAAATTGTGGATAAAGAGAAGTAAAGAAGTAAAAGATGTGGATAAAATTTTCACGACGGTGTTTTATAAAACTAATTACTTTTACCCTTTTTTTCAGAAATTTTGACTGATAAGATTTTGTACAAATTAGCGACTGAATACGTGGGAAGCACGTGGCATGATGTTGGAATGTGCCTTGGAATTCCCGCGGCAACCTTAGATCTTATTGAAAAGAATCAAGAATCTCCGAAGAAAAAGAAATTTGAAGTTTTCCGACAATGGAAAATGTCATCCAACAAGCCAGAAAATATAAAGCTTGCTGAATTAAAAAAAGCTTTCTACGACTGTAATAGGCAGGACCTTGTGACGGCACTTGAAGAATTATTAAGCGGGGAGGCCACAGGAGGAAAGTTTCTCACCCAGTGAGCTCTGCCACTTTCTGACGTTTTATTATTGTATACATGATAACGAGTAAAAATAAGTAAGTTAAGTACATACATAGATGTGCACCCCCACCCCCAACAAAGAAAAAAATCCATGAATTATTTCGAGCACTCTTGTTTTGCAAATTCTGGACCACCTATGCTATGCAGGTGAAGCGCCTTAACGCCTTTCACTTGAGATGTCTCTGCCGGATCCTGTCTATCTGATGGAGCAGGGTCACCAACAACAACGCATCAATGAGCACCTATCTTAGTAACGTATGCTGAAGTGGTGAAATATTCAATAATCACTCAAAAGTGCGCATATGAAAAAAGCTTGGGCGTTTTTATTCATTATTTTAGTTGAACTATATAGATAGATATATAACTCAGTTTATCACAGTTTGCAAACTTAAGGATGCAGGTGTACAGTGTACCAGTATCGCATGTATTATTTACTTGTGTGTTACTGTTACATACGTTTTTGTGTTTATACTCGTATATCGCCGTTATTGTAGTGTATTTTGTATAAGTGTGTTTGTAGAAATAGACAAGAGCCCTTACACCAGCACTTAACTTCTACACTGGCTACCTGTTAGACAAAGAATCACTTTTTAAATTTTATTGCTAACTTTTGCCACAAGAATATTTGTCCACATTTTTATTTCATAGCCAATGTACGTGATGTAATAATGTACGTTCTACAAGCTCTTCAAACTAGATCCAGCTAAAGACACTCGATACAGTTCAGTGAACAATATAATTATCAATTTTAGGATAATTTTCATTGAATTGAACTTTTACTATTTTCATTGGACTTTTAAGAGCATAAGCATGTTTGGCAAATGTAGAGTGTTAAACAATAACGTAGTTTCAGTTTATCTACACTACCGACACTAAGTAGTCCTCCCAATAACACGGATAGATACGGTGTTCAGGCGCATGCAGTGCTCTCTATCAGTGCTCTATATCTGTTACAACATCGGACGGAAGACCCCAATTTTGCGAACGCTGGAAGGGTCTCTTGTATAGAGTAGGCCTACATATACCACCCGTTCCAAGAAAGCGGATCCCTTCCGAAAAAATACCTGTCGTGGCCTAATTTCTGCAAGAAAATTTATTCAACATTGTCATTTTAGCCTGTACAGTGAGATCCAATTATATAAGAATTAATATACACTGAGCAATCTTCAACATCTGATTATCCTGACCACATGACTCTCACAGTTCTTGCCTGGTTCAATAACATGTGCTGTATCTGTCATGCTCTACAATAAATAAAAAATAACTCAGTTTTCTGAAATATATATCATTATGCGATAAACGTTGTTGTAAAATACCAACTCTAATTTCTACCTTACTTGCAATTATCCTAACTGACCACCCGGCATGGAATGTTACAAATGCAACTGAACATTGTGTATGCTTAATAGGTGTGGAAGGTTCACCAGTATTTCATAATCAGGTACACGTTATATGGAGAAAGGAATGGAACAAGCAAATTTGTCTGATATAGTTACCGTAAAAGACTATTAATCACAAGTGCTAGGGCTGTATTACATTAATAAACCATGGTGTCCTGTAAACTACACACAAAACTTACTTATTAATATGCCCCTCGACCGTTGATAATACGGTCTATACGGTGATGCCATGGAGCCAGTGACGTGCCGGGTGCGAGTTGTCTGCAGTTGGTCCCTTTCTTTCTACAAAATACTGCGACCTGATCTGTACTTTAAATATGTCGGCACTTAGTCCTTTTAATCTAATCAAGCCCAACTTCTCTTTCTTCACTTCACTCCTCTCGCCAGTCGTGTCCGTCATCCATGGTCATTTTCCTGGTTTTCTCGCTTAACTTTAACTGCAATGCATCCTACGACACAACATTAGCAATTCGCCATTGCGTTGCTCTATCTCAAATTACATGACAACGCCAAATTTTACTCAATGCAATCCTATAACATAGACTTGTGCCCGACCGCGAGAGAAGTTTCAATGGCAGATTTTAACCCCACCTCTCGTGAAATCTCGCTCTAATCCAGGTCTCGTTTGACGTCATCTGCTGCGCAGATGTTCAAAATAGGCTATCCCGGACATTCCCTATACGTCAGTCAGATTTCTCTGCGACAGAAGTGGCATGAACCTGGTCGTAATTTGCGGAAAGGAGATGTTGTTTTGATCAAAGATATAGAACTTCCTCGAAACCAGTGGCCTCTGGCTCGAGTGGTGGAAGCCAATGCAGACGATGACGGACATGTGAGAATAGTTAAAGTCAGAACGGGTTGTTCTGGAACTTTGCGATCTTCTATTCTTGAGCGAAATGTACAAAAACTGGTATTATTGGATGAAAATTAGTGTTTACATGTGTACATACATTACAGTGACATTACTACAATGACTTTATTACAGTGACAATGATATATATCTGATGAACACTATTGGAACAAGTCTACATATATTGCTTAAAATGATTATATATCATTGAAAAACTGGATTCATTAAGTTTATTTGTATAACGTTCATTGCTTCAATTAAGAAAGCCAGCAGTAACCGTTTAATGGTTCATTTACATTTAATTTACTGTTTTTCTAATTGCTAGCATTCAGTGGTGTTTGCGTATTCATAATGTAGCGGTTAGATTCTTTATTTACTTAAAATCATTTTGATTTTGGTGGGAGTGTAACTGCCCGCGATATTTTATTTATTTATTTTCATTTTTATTCGAGTTTGTTCTTTGTTTACTTATTATTCATGCGGAGTACATTTTCCGTTCTTTCTCTGTTTTCTCTTTCTCTCTCTCCCTCTCTACTAATTATAACGTTACAGCTAGGCCACCGCACTTACCTAACCGCACCGTCACATGCCTGTACCACACCCTGCACAGAACAGTTTTCATTTCACAGCGTATATAAGGCCTCCTCCCTATTTCTTTTGGCTCACTTCACTTTCTTACACAGAACGATACGGGACTCTAACGACACCATTTTAGCTCACCCAGTCGGAGGAAAAGTTTTACGTTTGAATTCAATAAATTCAACCAGTTAAAGAGACTTCCCTTTTTTGACTGAGTGCAGCTACATGCATTGCTTCCAAAACAGAAAACAATCACACTGGTTTTCCAACACAAGCTGCACTTCAGTCTTATGAAACTTTCCAGTAAATTTGAGTATCATAAGTAACATGGTTTTCCCTTAATCGCTATCCTGGCAGCAGTGTCCAAAATAGGGGTTTCTTCAACTTTCATGCAATATAACATAATACTTAACAGCATAATGACCATCAATTTTTTATCAAAAAATAAGAGTATCATGAATATTCAGAAAATGTGATATGGGAAGGTCTTCAAGACCATGGAAGTTCAGAGTCACACATTCAAAATGCCAAAATGTAAAGAAGAGATAACTGTACTGAAATGATTTTCTTTCTATTTTCAACACCTTTTTACATAAAACAAAATAATCAATTTAGTGTCTTTTTTAAATGATCAACTAGGAAAATTGTTGCATAGGAAAAATATCAATAGAACAATTTTAAATGTCCAATTTGCTCCATTCGCAGATTCTGAACATAGTGAATCTGACAAACTGCAATGATGAGTTCCTTTCCATTTTTGATACTTTATTACACAATGCACGATAACAGGTTTACCGTCATTTTTATATAATCAACTAACAATATTGTTAAGAAGCAGAAAATGTCAAAACAACACTTTTACATATCTAATTAGTTCCATAATGAGACTGTTAACATGCCTAAGAATTAAATCTGAAGAAAAAACACTTATATACAAAAAGGCTAATAACTTCATCAAAACTTAACTGATCAAGCTTATTTTCAAACTTGATCTGTATACTAGTCAGACTAATCACTGCTGCAAGACAAAAGGCTGCTTGGTTTTCCTTAAAATGTGTTATCAGTGTTGCATATATGCTGAATAAGGGAAAAAGACAGCATAACTGTTGTAAAAATAGTCCAATCAAGCCAATTTTCGAACTTGACCTGCGTATTATGAATATTAATCAGTTTCAATCCAAAAGGAAAAACATTTTTACACTTATCTTGTTATCCGTGTTATAAAAATGCTGAAAAATTTGAAAAAAAAAATTAATTAAAAAACATTATTACTTCCCTAAAAATGGCCCAATCATGCTGATTTTCGAACTTGACCTGCGTATTATAAATATTCATCAGTTCTGTAAGTTTCAAGCCAAAAGGTAAAAGGGTTCTTCACTTATCTGTTATCTGTATTGCATATATGTTGAAAAAAGTGATAAAAACATCATAACTTCTCTAAAAATGGCCGGATCATGCTGAATTTCAAACTTGACCTGCGTATTATGAATATTCATCAGTTCTGTAAGTTTCAAACCAAAAGATAAAATGGTATTTCACTTATCGTGTTATCAGTGCTACATAAAGGCTGAAAAAAGTGAAAAAACAGCATAACTTCCCTAAAAAAGACCCGATCATCCTAATTTCGAACTTGACCTGCGTATTATGAATATTCATCAGTTTTGTAAGTTTCAAACCAAAAAGTAAAATGGTTTTCCACTTATCGTGTTATCGTGTTATCGGCGCTGCATATATGCTGAAAAAAAGTGAAAAAACAGCATAACTTCCCTACAAGTGACCCAATCATGCTGATGTTCGAACTTGACCTGCGTATTATAAATATTCATCAATTCTGTAAGTTTCAAGCTGAAATGAAAACACTTTTCCACTTATCGTGTTATCGGTAAAAGTGCATGGCGGCGACGGCGACGACAGATGCAGGTGATGGCTATATGTACAGACACATCTGTGTCTATACATAAAAATGATGGTCAACTTGTTATTGTGTATTGTGTATTGTGTAATAAAGTGTCAAGAATGGAAATAAACTCATGTCTTTACTGTTTGTCAGATTCAATCATTCACTGTGCTCAGAATGTCAGAATGGAGCAAATTGGACATTAAATTTGTTCTATTGATATTTTTCCTATGTCAACAGTTTTCTTAGTTGAT